ATGCATAGCATACAAGAAAACAAAAGAATATCAGAAGAAAAAAACAAATAAAAGGACTGCTTCAACCTCAGATTATGAAAAAAAAACATGAAAAAACAAATGAAAGTTTTAAAATGGCCACATGGGGACACTGTATAACTACACGAGGGCGCCGTTACCTGTATTGTAGATGCAATCTCTGCAGCAAACCCACTAGTCAGTGGTGCCTCATGTGCTACTAATAATCGTCCGGTCTTCGTTACAGACTGAAAAAAAAAGTGAGCATTTAAAGTTACATAATTCATTGAGGTCTATCATAAAGTAACTATCACGCTATTAAGTTATACTCAGAGATCATTCCTACAGGTTTATTGCAGCCTTGAGATTATTTTATGGATTATGTTTATACCTTAAATGTGAAATATTTGATGGTTTGAATGTGTGTGAATTGTGGGAAATATTCAATCCTTTGAGCCAATGTAAGCTTTTTACAAATCAAAACCAGTATAATTTTTTTTTTCTGTTTTTTTTTTATTTTGATAAAGACCTGCAGCCAGTAGGAAATTATGTTCATTTAGTCCAAAATCTATCAATTAAAAATCTAAAAATAGCTAAAATGTTACACACCAAATTTTGTTTTGAAAAATTATGGCGCTCAATAGGTAATAGTGTGAATACCATTCAAATCATTATGTAATTTGAATATGCAATCAAATGGGAAGCCAACATTTGAATGCACTGAATATTGAATGTTTAGAAAATAAAATTTGAATATGCAATCAAATGGCAAGCCAACATTTGAATGCACTGTTAATTGAATTTTTAGAAAATAAAATTTGAATATCCAATCAAATGGGAAGCCAACATTTGAATGCACTGAAAATTGAATGTTTAGAAAATATAATTTGAATATGCAATCAAATGGCAAGCCAACATTTGAATGTACTAAAAATTGAACGTTTAGAAAATAAAGTTTGAATATCTAATCAAATGGGAAGCCAACATTTGAATGCACTGAAAATTAAATGTTTAGAAAATAAAATTTGAATATCCAACCAAATGGGAAGCCAACATTTGAATGCACTGAAAATTGAATGTTTAGAAAATAAAATTTGAA